TGAAGGTTTCAAGTCGATATCTCCCACCGTTTTGCCGCAATCGCCGCCGAAAGTTGAAAAAAGTCTATTTTTCCGAAAATTTGACCTTTGACCGGTCAAAAGTAGGTCAAATGTTGACCTAGGACCAAAAAATATACCACCAATCGCGAGATCTCGTTGAGAGCAATCCGTTGGTTTTTTCCGCTAAGCTCTACGACCTTCCGTTTCGAAACGCCAGGGGGGGGTCGTAACAACCCCCCCTGGTCGTTCGTGTTATGAGAAATGGCCTGGTCGTGCGAGGGTTAAATGAAGCAGGTAAGATCGACACCAACTCTATGCCATATAAACGCCTAAATGTTTCTTTAGTATTTAAGTTACCCCAATGTTCACTATCGGTCTTTGTACGCAGTCGGCGGAGGCCGTAAGCAGCAGCAGAAGGAGCGCCGGCTCATCAAGGGCTTCAACATCGGCATGGTGGAGAACGCCAACTTCAGCCTCAGCTCCAATGCCGGCAACCAGGCCGCCGACTTCTTCAGCGGCATACTGCTCGGAAAACGCAAGCAATCCAGCAAAAAGAAGGTGAGAAAGCGGAGGAGCGCAGCAGAGGCGAATCTAGCCACGCGATTTTTCATTTTATGAGTGAGTGGTTGGATGTGACCGGTACGGGCGGTGTGGGTGGTTAACTCATGCAGCCTGCTGTCGGTTGCTTGCCGAATGGGTGCCTCGTGTTGCCTGAACACTGAGCCCTACCCCCCCCCCCCCCCCACCCTCCCCCTCCCCCGGCAGACTGGAACGCCGTGGTGCGGGAGTCTTAACTCCGCCCTTCCCCAGCAGAACTGGAACGCCGAGCCCTAACCACCACCCCCTCCCGGCAGGACTGGAACGCCGAGCCCTAACCACCGCCCCCTCCCCCGGCAGGACTGGAACGCCGTGGTGCGGGACAGCATGCGCCGCCGGGACCACATCGGCTCATCGGTGGTCAGTCTGGACCGCGCCCGGCGCCGCTCCAAGAGGCTCACACAGCGCCGCAAGGAGGCGCTCTCCAAGGGACTGGCCATGACGCCCGTGCCCAGACCCAAGTGGAAGAAGGTAGGCGCACCATTACAGCCTTCTTGATATCGATGTAAGGAGTAGCTTTACCGAGTGTCAGTTGAACTTCCGGTGCGTAGATCGCTACGTACAATATTTCATACACTAGAGGATATTTCCTTGCGCTTTGTAACTTGTAAGTCGGAAGCTCGTGCGAGCCTAAGTACACTTATTGACAACATCGTCTCCTAAATCAATCACATCACCCACGTCATGTGACTGCACTTGCGCAGAAGAGCCGTCAGGTGAGCGCTCTATACACGCCACACGGCACTTGCCTCCCCACGTGTGTCGGCGCTCGCCGAGCGCGCCTGCAGCCGTCCTGACGCCGCTCTCCGCTGTGTCGGCGCCAGGTCCAGTACATGTCGCAGCACGGCGCGTTCCGCGACGGCATACTGGACCAGGAGCTGGTGAACCAGATCCTCAACATGGACCGGCGCCTGTCCACCGGCTGGGGGCGCGTGCAGGCGCTCCAGCTGCGCGGCGCCTTCTCGCCCTGCGGCGCCGACGAGCCGATCCTCGAGGAGGACGAGCGGCGCGCCAGCGTCTACCCGAGACCGGCGGCCGGCTCGCCCGCTCCAGGTCCGTCCCTCTCTGTGTGTGTGTAACTATGTGTTTCAGTCTGTCAGTGTCTGGCTGAGTCTGTTGTTCTGTTTGAAATGACTCTCCGGCGATGCCGATCGTATGCCGTATCGTATGCCGTACCATGCCGTATCGTGACCGTGACATGGCGACCTCCCTTGTTCCAGAGCCGGACACCCGCTGTTCGTCCGCTCAGTCGGGTCGGGAGTCGGCCGCGGGCGCGGGCTACGCTATCGGGGAGGAGGACGAGGGGGAGGCGGCCTCCCAGCCGGCGCCGCCGTCCCAGGCCGGCGACGGCGACGGACCGTCGCGCCGACCCTCGGCCGTCAGTGGCGCCAGCTCCCGACCTCCCTCTCAGAAACGGCGTGCCCCGACGCCCCCTGGCAGCAGCGCCGCTCCGCGGGCCGGCTCCGGCGCCGGGCAGCCCGCCGCCACCGCTCCCTCCCCGCAGCCAGACGCGGCGCCCACCAGCAGCGGAAGCGCCGCGCCGGCACCACCGGCAACTCCGGCAAAGGAGACGAGCGCAGCGCCATCCGCGGCGCCGTCCACGAGACCATCCGCCGCGCCGTCCCCAGAGCCGGCCGCTACGTCAACCCCGAGACCGTCCACCACACCCACCCCACAGCCGTCCGCAGCTCCCTCACCGGGGCCGTCCGCAGCTCCCACCCCGGGGCCGTCTGCCGCGCCCTCCCCGGCACCGTCTGCCGCGCCCTCCCCGGCACCATCGCTCGCGCCCTCCCCGGAGCCGAGGGCGGCGGCTGGGGACACCGCGGACAGGAGGAAGAGCTCGGTGACGCCGACCCTGCCGCCGCCGCCCCGGTCCTCGCCCCGCGGCTCACTATGTCCGCCCCCGGCGTCAGCTACCCGGCGACCCTCCGCCGGCTACAGCCGCCAGCAGAAGGGCGGCTGGCTGTAGGCCGCAGGTCGGCTACAGCAGAGGGGCGGCGACCCTCCGCCGGCTACTACTGGCGGCTACAGGCGCCAGCAGAAGGGCGGCTGGCTGTAGGCCGTAGGTCAGCTACAGCAGAGGGGCGGCGACCCTCCGCCGGCTACAGCCGCCAGCAGAAGGGCGGCTGGCTGTAGGCCGTGGGTCGGATACGGCAGAGTCGCTGGCCTCTGCCGGCAGAGTCGCTGGCCTCTGCCGGCGACTGAGGCCCGCCGACAGCTCCGACTGGACTTTATCGGCCGAACGGTTCGGGATCCCCGGTACAGCCCACCGAGCTCCGTCAAACGCAGCGTGCTCTCGGCCCAGTGGTAACTGTAGCTTATTCAGGATGATGCATAACATAGCGAATTGAAGTATACAGTATACACGGAGTTCTATAGCCTTGGACCCTTGGTATACGAGTACACATCAAAACGGGCCATCAAGCTACTGCAAGCAATCATTTCATGATGCTATGAACTGTGAATAAACGCCAGTTCAATTGGACAATTCTGAGACCGGGACGTATGCATTTAAGTTATTCGCAATTTAAGTTATGTGTCAGGCATAATTACTACCGGTTTCAGCAAAACACGAATAGAATGCATTTCATTGCAAGTTGCAGGGAAACGGAAGCTCCCTTGTGATATTTGATAGCCAGGCAAAGCGTTCCTAGAAGATTAGGGATATGTGCATTAGTAGCCGATTGTGTTACCATTGCTTTATGCTTATGTTATGTATGCTAGTGTACTTTGTTAGCACCTTATGTTATGTTTATGTATATGTTATAGCATATTCATAATGTTACTCAGCACTTTATACCACCAACCATGAGCTTCTTCACCTAAATGCACGACATAGTTAAGTAGTTTAATACTTATAACATTAAATGAATAGCTTATTTCAGCGAGAAGTGCTGAGTTATGTTTCTTGTTCATGACCGCTTATCTGGTGTTGGCTTCAAATATAATTACTCTATCCTTGTCTATTATTGTGTGAGAAGTTGTAGTTGCCACCATCTGTTCCATCCCTCCCCCAGATGTGTCAGCCGCGGTGGTCGGAACATAAAGAGCCCGATGAAAGACGGAATGCAGCCTTTCCTCTGCCGACCGGCTTAAACTGATACTGAAATGACGCTGCGCAAAGCTGTGCTTTACATGCAGGACCCACGACAACCATAATAGAGTCAACCGCAAGGAAAGGAGCGACCGAGCGGAATGAGATGTATGCGGTATGCGGTAGACTAGATTCGGCGAGCCAGATAGCCTAGAAGAGAGACTATAAAAATATCACTGATTAATGATCATATATCACACTGATTATATCACCGATCTCTTTTCTGCATGCAAGTAAGGTCAGAGAGCAGAATATCGTATGGCCCATCAGGTCACCCGTATCATACCACTCTCCAGTCTCCAGCAATAGGTACATCCAAGAGGTTGCATTAGCATCACAGGACACGGACCATCGTGTGTTGTGTGGCGTGCATTACGCTGTACATACACAGCACCAAAGGCATGCGACAGCCGTGTGATGGGTCAATGCCCACGGTCTGATGCCAGTCGCTGCAGCCCGCTGTCGGCTCCAATGACAGCTGGCTACGCGTCGCGATATGCGGCGCGGCGCGTATACCTTACGCAAGGGGGCGGTGTCATGCCGCTCGGACCGCTCGCCGCTCGGTATATGTGGACGATAACTGATGAATGTCCTGGTTCAGTTTCTGAACAATCTGGAACACTGGATATCTAACGCATTATTCTGCATCGCAGAACCGCCTTCACAAGCTCAGCCTGGCAGCACGATTTCAGACAAAGCTAAGCCGAGACATCTGGAAACAGATAAAGCACCGATTCCAGATCAACCTGCCAGTGGCAACCTCTTTGGACGTCGCTTAGCTGATACATGTAGCCTGCAATTCCAGGATAAACAATGTCGCCACGCATTAGGACTACGCGAGGGTTGTCGCGAAGGCGCTGGGCCTGATCTGTATTCTGTAACATCCGGCCGGAGCCTCCCAGCCGTAAGGATTCAGACGGGCGTGGCCCGAACCATTGTTTATTCCCTGAACGACACAAGTAGAGGTGACAGCGAACACAACACATGTGACTGCTTGGAACGGTTCCTGCAATCGCGGTATGCCCGTACAAAAAGACACATGTCGCGTACCTACCGCAGATACGTGTTCGAGTCGTACAATGATGCGTGTTCGAGTCATACAATGATGCGTGTTCTAGTCATACAGTGATGCGGGTTTAGTCATACAGAGTTTAATACCTGTGTAGTGTATATGTTGCAGGCACTTTAGAAAATCAGTCATTTTGTAAAATGCCTAGGCATTTTACAAAAAGACGGCTGTTTGAAAAATGACTGAACGCAACCAGGCTTTTTTCAAAATGGCTAGCCATTTTACAAAATGACTAGGCATTTTGCAAAATGTCTGACCAGCATGGAACGTAGATCCCACTACAGATACTAGGTATGGCCAACAGTTTTTGAACGTTTTCCTACATATACCCTATAGGTACGTGTTCAGCCTGTAGCTGATCGATTTGAAGCTCTGTGATGACGACAATGCTGAGTAGCGACCAGGTTGAGTTGCAGACTCGGCTGTAGCATAAAGCATTGTTTAGTTAACGCTGTAAAAACTCCCAAGTACATCAACGCCGTTCATGTTCTGCCTGAAACTAGACCTAACAAAACCAGCCGGAGACCGGCCCCAGTTAATAGGCAGACCCGGTTGATGTGCAATTACATGTAAACGAATGAGTGTAGTCTTTGTTTGATTGTGTCTTTGTTTGACAGCTTTGAGGGTCTCGCGAGATTAAGCGGTAGGTTTTGCACTTTTACATTTCCGGTTATATCTCAGAAACTAATCGATCTACGATGAAGCCATTTTACACGATCATGGCCGGTTTGTTACCCAACCAGTCGATCGCATATTCAACATTTAAAAGCTTAAGACGACGAAGATATAGCCTGAAGTACACTAAATTTTTTAGGTGCAAAACCTACCGCTAAAACCCGCGAGACCTGTACCTACCTACTTGCATGGTCCCAGTTAAAAATATCAAGCTCCACATCGGGAGAATCATCAGGTCGCTTGGCGTAGGACGAGAGCGTTGGTTTCAGAAGACACTAACGCCTATGTAAGTGTGTGGGATCCAATCCTCGCGACCTCTAATGGTTTTACACTCAGATACAGGCCGGCATAGGGCCAGTCGTTTGTTGACGCTCCAGATCGATCATTTTAAATCCAGCAGCGTCGCTGACGTGGGGGTTGGAAATGTCACGGGCCTGCACTTCTCAAAATAGAGAGAGGTAGGTATGGACTTCCCACTGCTGGACTCCTCTGGTCATAATGCTGGACTCCTCGGCCCACCTACACGCTACCAAAACGTATATAATTAGGTACTCGTATCTACAACACGCTGCTCAGTCATTTTGTAAAATGGCTAGGTATTTTGTAAAATGCCTAGGCATTTTGCAAAATGACTGGAGAGTCAGTCATTTTGTAAAATGCCTAGGCTTTTTGCAAAAAGCCTGGAAAATCAGGCATTTTGCAAAATGCCTAGGCATTTTACAAAATGACTGATTTTCTAAAGTGCCTGCAACATATATAACACACGGGCATCCCATGCCAGCAGTGTCTGGTCACCACACTTTGGTGACGATGAAAACAAACGCTTGTAAAACTTAACATCAGAAAACGCACGCAATTGTCCAACATTCTTACACAGGTACAGGTGAATTGTGATATCATATATGTAGCTACGTTTGAGAGTATAAGTGCATTGAATAATAGTGCCTTGTGACATCCGAGAGTACCGATATCGTAATTAAATGCTCGCAGCTATTTTTCAGCGGAGCTATTGCTCTTTCACGACTGACAGATACCTACTTAGCACACGAATGTAGTTACCGTTCGAAACAAACGGCATTCCGCTCATCACCTCTGCGCCCGTCAGGCCGTCACAACAATGTGCACATTTTGTTACACCCCGTGTGACACGACGGAAAGTTGTGTTGTGCGCTGACAATTTACATACACTGACCATAGCTGGAGGCAAACCATGAGAACACAGATGACACGACGACAAACGGTCGAAATGACGGGACCAATACCCAATAAATACTGGCAGGTAGGAACCATAGTCTAGGCAGCCTCTGAATCAATCTTTGTATATAAACAACCTCCGAATCACCAATCCATTCATGGCACATCTATCTCTGAGATCAAATCGTGTCCAGTGCTGTCACTAGCTTGGCTATGCGGGTGAAGTTCCAATACTACAGAGCAATATACTCCAATACTACTCCAGTAGGTACTGTAGAGCAATATACAACGACTGCACAAATACATCAAAATCGCCTTCCCTATGTGATGGCCAATGCGATTACAAAACGAATAACGATAACATCATGTTAAACTCAAGCCAATAAAATTACAGTTAACTATTACGGGCGAACAAAATGCAGGTGACAGACGATAAAACGTCGATAAAATTAGCAGCCAGTGGCCCCGTCACAGAACAGCTACGCACTACACGCAGTCAGCAGAGGACCGTGTTACTAGCAATAATCCAGCTTTACGGGTATGAATAATAAACAGGTCGCTGTCGCTGCCATTATCAAACTTAGTTATTTACAAGCATTCACGACATTAAAGTTATCAATAAAACATTTGGCCTTTCCCTGAAATATTTTTGTTGGCATTGATGATTGGAGCCAGCCCAATTGGTCCCGGTCTTTGATTAATCCGCACCCGGGTGGGGATTCGGTCAACTTCGCTATGGTGGGGATGGGGGAGGGGGCAATTGGCTAAACCGTAAACGACACATCCAGAAAAGGCTAAACAATTGGAAAAACAGAGAAAAACAATCAATTGCATTCAACGAGCAGATTGAAATGCAAATTTAGGTATGTCCCAGTACAATAATTTCATTTGAGCCCTCCTCAACAACACTGTGTGCAGTGCAATACACCGCCTAACCCTCGCCGGCCGAGTAGGGGGAAGGGGGGGGGGTGCCCCCCATAAGGATTTTTCGCGATAGCTTCCAACACGCTGGCGATAGGGAGCCGAAACCTGACATACCTGACCTTCGGTTCAAGCCGAATCTTAAGATACCAACTGCATTTTCAGGTCAGGTCAGGTCACTGACCTATTATGAGTTGACGTAATAAAAGAACCTCTGCACGGTCATCAGATGTCGGTACTTTGCAACACCCCCACTGCCAGAGGAACTTTCCCAGGGAGATAAAACTTACTGCTATTTCGGCGCCGGGAACGATCACAAACTATCTCAAGCATACGAAATCGTGAATTTCATACAATCCTTGCAAGGTCAGCTGCTTCACTTTTGCATTGTTGACCTTGCATGACGTCATTTATGACGTCACTAAGGTCATAAGAGTTTTTCGTCAATAGCTACCGATCAAATTGAGCTAGCAAGCCGAAAAAAACTACCAATGGACTCGAGAAGACCTACCAAAGCGAATGATATGCAATATGACCTCCTTCGACCAGCTTCGTGACCTGGGGGCTCTGAACTGACCTTGAATCGAGGTCAACACCTCAAGTTGACCTCACCCGAACAAACAGTATACCATTCGACGCGACTGAGCGAGGCGAACACGATTATGCCAAAAATAACGGCGCTTCGACAGTTTTTTTTGGGGAGGGGGGGTAAGTTATTGCTCAAAAACCGAACCCATGCCTTCGACCACTTGACCTGACCTTAGAGGTCACCGGTTGACCTGAGACCTTAAAATCGGGTACCAGTCGCTGCGTCTCGTATCGACGCATACGCTCGTTCTTTCCGCAACGCTCCAACCCCATCAGGGGCGACACAGCGACTAGGGAGGTCGTACCAACCTCCTCAGCCGGCGCGTATGTAGAAAACCAATAGGTCCGGCGAGGGTTAAAACTAACCCAGCATTCTCACCAACATATTTTGACAGTGAGTAAATTGGCCTGAAGCTGCTCTCCAAGGTGAACCATGTTAGCTGTTAACGGTTGACCACCCAGTACTGTGCACAATCACCGCACAGAGGCGACAGCCTCCATGCAAGCAGACGTCGGGCAGTTACGTCTGTGTGTGGACTAGCCATCAGACGGCTGCCTCTGCGAGCAGACGCCGGGTGGCCACATCTGTGTGTATGGCGTCAGACGGTTAATTCTGCGAGAATGTGCCGATGCCAGACGGCGCCTTCTGCGAGGAGACGTCGAGTGACTACGTCTGTAGAGCAGACGTCGGGCGACTACGTCTGTAGAGCAGACGGCAGACGGCTACTTCTGGGAGCAGACGTCGGGCGACTTCGGCTGTAGAGCAGACGGCAGACGACTACTTCTGCGAGTAGACGTCGCTGTTCATGAACTCTGGCTGCTGACTGGGGTCCAGGAAGCCGGGCACGTCGATCTCCAGCGTGCGGCCCACGCCGCCCTCCTTTCCCAGCAGCCAGTAGGTGGGCAGGGAGCCCTTGCCCTGCGGGGGCACGGACGGCGCGCGTCAGAGCTGCGAGCCCGCCCGGCTCAGTGGCGCACACTGACACTGCCCTTTGAGTGGCGTTCAAAGGCTGCGGCGCACATCGCCAGCCAACAACCCGGGCCGAAAGGGGATCTTCACCAGCGCAGAAAAGGAACTGAATGGGACATCGCTAACATGCCATTGGAGTGACGTGCGTCTCAAACCACTTAACTAGCCAGGTCATCGGTTTTCCCAGCTTCTCTGACCATGCTGGCTCAGTAAGGAAGTAAATGCCGCCAGAAAGCTGCGCGTAAGGCGATATCGACATTCACTAATAGAGTCATCAGGCATCGCCAGAGATGCAGCAGTTCTCGTCCATGCTATCAGAGAGGCAAAAGCTATGAGCAGCCTGATTCTCAATTTACCAATGAGTATAAACCACACTTAAAAAATAGCAATAAGAAATAACGACTCTATCTGCTAGCATCTGAAATGCCAAACTCTGTTTTATTACAAGTGTTCGAAAGCATGATATGCAGTAGGTGGGTAACAGAAAACACATCCTATTGTTCAAAAGAAAAAAAATAGTTCGCATCAATAATTTACATAGATTTTCATAGCGCTTCATCATTTCACAATTAAAACCAATAAAGCATGCAGGAACGCCACAAGTGTGTTAATTAAGACATTCAATGGCAAAGTGAAGACAGAATTTGATACTTACCTACCGATGAGCTGTTTGACCACTGACTAGTGACCACTGACCACTGTTCCACACTGCAGATACTGTACTTGACGTCACTCATTTGTGCTTCAGCAAACAAGTGCGACAGCGTATTCAAATAAACGCATTAAAAAAAAAAAAAACGGAACAGGTAGAGTTTAGGGCTAAATGCATTAAGCATTCCATACGAGACAGCAACGGTTGTATTAACATATCTAAGCAAACCTATCGGGTAATATTTTCATTCGCTTCAGGAAAACACGCAAGCAACTTTAGTTATGGATAAAATGATAGATACATGCTGTTCCACACTCATGCATCAGAGGTCCACGTTTTACGATATCGTGTTTGGTGCACGTGCAAAAACACCCCGTGCTACAGTCATTCAGAAATAACAGTACATCATGCAGATGCTTGTGTAATGTGTTGTCTTACCTTGATGTCGACATTTTCTCTGAACTCTAGTTTGTATCCGCCCGCCTTCATCAGCAGCTCGTAGGTTGTGTCACTCACGTGAACCATTTGCGCTGGCAACATACACGCATGTATGTACAACACACCGTATGTACATTGGACTAAGGGCATATAGAGGATTCTTCATGGCTCAGAGTGAAAGATAATGCATATTTCATGTAGAATAGACGCTTCCCAAACCGTGAACAATATACTTAGCACCTACGACGAGAAAGAGAAAAAAAGAGATAGGAAAAGAGAATGAGAGAGGGAGAGAGAGAGTGGGAGGGGGAGGGGGTGGGAGGGAGATTCCGGTGGTTTTGGGCCCAGTCTCCACTCTCAGTGCCATTATATAAGGTAGGTAGCACACTCACGCAATCCGGTCGACTCCATGCGCGAAGCCACGTTGATGGTGTCTCCAAACAGGCAGTACCGCGGCATCTTTGTACCCACCACCCCTGCGGGAGCACGCAGACCGGGGGAGGGGGACAGGTCAGTCGTGGGCGAAGTCACCCACAGTCGCTCACCAGCAGACAGCAGTGGCATGCTGACATACTGAGCAATGAGCAGGAGCTAAAGACAGTGCCTAGATTGTGTTGGAAAGGTGTAATTATATAGTGTGAGTTTCACCATCGAATTATGGATAGCCAGGCCTTTGAGATCAAGTCCTTAGCGGACTTATATTCTAAACTCAGTATCATTTGATTTTAGTAAAGCAGGTACTGCTTTTCGGCACACCCCGGCAGCGGGCAAAGTCACATCACCTGCCACGCAGGGTCCCGTGTTGAGGCCGATTCGGATCTGCACCAGCACACCCTTCATGTGGGGCACCTCAAACTTCTTGATCCCTTGCAACAGGTCTAGCGACATGTCGGCTACTTCGCTGGCGTGCTGGTCACCTGTGACACAGGTCAGGTCACATAAATCGGGCCAGGTCACGCTTGTCAGGTCACATAGGTCAGATCAGCTCAGAGGTCAGGTCACGGCGATCACGTCAAAGAGGTAAGGTCACGTGTCAGGTCACGGTGGTCAGGTCAGAAGAGGTCAGGTCACGGCGGTCAGGTCATAGTCATCAGGCCGCGGCGGTCGGGTCACGGCGGTCAGGTCAGGTCAGGTCACGGTGAGCAGTCGGTCCCCGGAACACAGAGCTGCCTGCCGACACCACGAACCGTTTCTCTTTGGCAGTCCAGAGACGCACATGTAGGCGTCTCCTATGGTCTCCACCTTGTACACGTCGTACCGGTCGATACGGCTATCAAAGACCTTGTAGAGAACGTTCAAAAACGTCACCACCTGAAACAAAAACAAGTAACCAGCACAGGCAGTTGCCATAGCTACGAGCAAGATGCACATACTTAAACTCGAGAGCCTTTACACTAGCCGTTTTCACGACGGTCCTATCCGGCGAGTGCACCTGATTTGACCAAATCTGCACCTAATCTCTTTTACAGCAAATATCTTCATTTTATGAATTTATTTCAGTGTTTTAATCGATGATGCTCTCTGATAAAACGACAAAGCAGGCATATAAGCAATTAGTGTAACCCTAGCTGACAGCTACTAAGAGACACACTGAACCTGATTTGACCAAATCTGCACCTGATCTGCACCAGATGTGTACCAAATGTGTACCAGATGTCCTTCGTGAAAACGGCTACTACCTCTTGCCGTCTTGTGCTATCTGCCCTCTATGTGTTCGTTCAAAAATAGATTTATTATTTAATGCTCCAGTCACAGGAAGTTCATACCTTTTATCTATCTATTGATCAATGTTGCAATGAGAACAATTACCCTCTGATGTAGTATACCTACAATATGCATACAGCAAGCCTGCAACGGTTAACTTAGAGCTAATGACTTATCACAGTAAATTATGTTATCTATAGGCTCACCGGTATCTGCAGCTGGTTTGCTATGATATATGTGCTCTTTGCATGCCTGTATCGAGTGCTCCCAGTACCTGTATCGGGGTGCTCCCAGTACCTGTATCGAGTATTCCCAGTACCTGTATCGGAGTGCTCCCAGTACCTGTATCGGGGTGCTCTGCGCCGAGATCCGAGTGAAGCCGACAATGTCGCTGAAGTAGACGGTGACCGACTGGAAGTGCTCGGCCGGCACCTGCCCCTTGCCCTTGAGCTGCTGCGCGATGGGCTCCGGCAACATCTGATAGAGCAGCCGGTCGGCCTTGTTACGCTCCTGGGCGATCTCCTGTGTCTTGGCCGTCACCATCTCAGTAAAGTCCTGCCGCCGACAGGAGGGGCAGCGGGTGAGAGCGCCGGAGGGCAGAGAGGAGGAAGAGGCAGGGAGAGACGGAGGGAGGGGAGAAGTGACCGTCCTGGGTGCCTGCCCTGCATTGCGCCCGGTGGCAGCCAAGTCAGAACGACCGGTTACGGATCGATCAATAGGATTTTTAATATCATAGATAGGCGCGGGAGTCAGGGGAAGGCTCCCGCGCCTTCCCCTGAGAGAGAGAGAGAGAGAGAGAGAGAGAGAGGGGGAGAGAGAGAGAGAGAGAGAGAGAGAGAGAGAGAGAGAGAGAGAGAGAGAGAGAGAGAGAGAGAGAGAGAGAGAGAGAGAGAGAGAGAGAGAGAGAGAGAGAGAGAGAGAGAGAGAGAGAGAGAACAATAAAAATGGAAAAATATTTAACGGCACCGCGCGCGCCGACTGCGCCAACGCAAAAGCCGCGAAAAAGGAAACAATGAAGAAAACGCCCGAACCGCCCGCCCGCAGCCCGTTTTCATAAGGCGTGGGTAGGCTGTGCCGTTTAACACTCAAGTAAAGCGGCACAGTATATCAATACCAGGCGGCTGCTGCCAGCGCTGAGGCCTCGATAGCCGGCGCGGCGGATGAAGTCCCTATCGATTCTTGTAAGTACCCAAGTACCCGATTGAACAAAGTCTCTCGACATACACCAGAGAGCACCGAGCAGCAGATGAGTCTCCTAACCGCAGTTACGCGGCAGAACCAGGACCGTAGCTGCCTTACACACCGCCTCTCAGCGCGGTGGTGAGTAAGTGACAGGTTTACCGTCAACCGCGGTGCCCGAGCGGAAAATAATGAAATTGAACTTCCGCTTGACGGAGTGGAAAACGAGGGCTCCGCACAGAGAGAATGGATGTTTCACAACTCGTGGCAGCTTGTCTGAGACCGACAGACCCTACCGCACGTACGCCCCCGTGTCACCATCGTTACCGTAGACGACACTGCACTGAACCTCGCCACCCCTTATAACACTCCACGGCACCCGTGGCACCCTTGACCGACGCGCTACTGCACCCCATCCCCCGACAACCGGCCGTCCGACAACTCCTCCCCCCTCTGCGGCGGGCCGGTGACTGTGAGACACACCATTCCTGCGTCCCGGTCGTCCCCCACACATCTTCCTCAGGAACGGGGCCGTCCCACACATTTCCCCTTTACTGGGAGGGGATCGCGGCCCCCCCCCCACACCTCCCCTCCGAGACGGTACCGTCCCACACATCTCCTCCCCCGGGACGGGGCCACCGTCACACTCATCCCCCTTCCCGGGGGAGACCACTGTCCGCCCGTCCACCGACCTGTGATGAGCGCTGTCCGCCCGTCCACCGACCTGTGATGAGCGCTGCCCGCCCGTCCACCGACCTGTGGTGAGCGCTGTTTGCCCGTCCACCGACCTGTGATGAGCGCTGTCCGCCCGTCCACCGACCTGTGATGAGCGCTGTCCGCCCGTCCACCGACCTGTGATGAGCGCTGTCCGCCCGTCCACCGACCTGCATGGTGAGCGCGATCTTCCTGACGAGCACGATGATGATGGGCGACAGGAGGAGCACGAGGACCAGCAGCAGGACGGCCACCATCTGCTGGTTGTAGGCGATCGCCACCTGTTCGGTGACGTGGCCGCTGCGGGGCAGGCAGACGGCCGCGTCACTGGCTCACACCGGTAGGTACACGGCCGCGTCACTGGCACACACCGGCACACGGCCGCGTCACCGGCACACACCGGTACAAGGACCAGGGCCCAATCTTACCAAATGCCGTGAATGCGCATTCACGGCATTTGGTAACATTCAGAACTATTCCACATTCAGTATCCATTCGTTCTGGCGACATTCATAATCATTCACGCTATCAAAATCATTGGACAAGATTACCTGGAGGTAAATAAAAAGGACATCTTTGATATCAGTGCCGTAAACTCCGGCCAGTGCTGCCAAATCCAATTCACGGCATTGGTAAGATTGGGCCCTGGTATCGGCACACGGCCGCGTCACTGGCTCATACCGGTGTATGGACGGGCGTAAGCACCGGTGTATCGGTATCCATACGGGCGCACAGTGGCAGAGACGGCCATCCTGTCAGCTAATGCATTTTCTAGTTAGATCGGCGGGAAAGCTGTTTCGAGCTTACCAATAATACAATGATAAATATAATAGAGAAGAGCACATTCTAGATCACGTGAGTGCACTATGAGATCCTCTGTAAATAAATGATACGCATCACAGCATGGCATTATACAAGTGATTGCACGGAATGAAAAAAAAAAACAATTGATAATCACATCAGTAAGACACATGTGCGTCAAGAGGACAGCAGGTTTTCCAATCCATCTCGGCAATCGGCTCACACACCGCGCAGTTGAGCTCCCATTCCGCGGTATTGTCGGCATCGCAGCGACACAGCACGTGCTCCGTCTCCCTGGGTCTCCCTGTGCCTGTAACAGCCCGCCCCCTCCGCCTCCCCAGCAGTCGGCCCCCCGTTCCGCCCCTCCCCCCGCCCGGGACGCACGTGATGATGTTTCGCAGCTCGACCTGTACATCCCGCAGCAGGTCGGCCATGGTGGTGCCGTTGATGAAGAAGGCGATCGCCATGCCCATGGAGCCGTTCATCGGACTGTTGTTGACAATCAGACCACGTCTGAGGGGGGCACGGGGCGGTGACAGCCAGACCATCGTCACCAAGGGTAGGCGGCGCGGCCCAGACGGTCTCCGAGTCAATAATTTATGCATGAACGGCCAGTATGCGTCATTCCTGCTCTCCCATAAATATGTGACTGCAATGTCATTTGTTTACAAATGTTTACGGCGAGCAATTATCTCAAAACACAAACTGCAGAGACCGGAACAAGAAGATGTATGCAAATGTGTTTTACTTTACGCGGCCGCCATGTGCAGGCACTCACTGCTGTATGTAGCTGTTGTATCCCTCGAAGCTGTCGAATATGTAGTGTATCTTTTCGGACATTTCGGGCGAGAAGGAGCGCGTGTTGTTGATGTACTCCCAGAACAGCGTGTCGGAGCGCACGGCCTGCGTCTGGAACTGCGCCTGCAGCTGGCCGGTGGCGAAGTAACGCAGCCCGTACGTCAGGAACAGGCTGAAGTGCTCCATCGCCCGGATGATGTTCAGGTACGACAGCATGTAACTGGGAAAACTGGCTAATGTCAGCGGAGCAGACCCCGCTCCGGACGGCAGCGTCCGGGGAGCAGCGGCCGGCGAAATGGCAGCCCATCGTCCCCTAATGAATTATGGATGGGTCGTCCCACACATGAGGTCACGAGCCTTAGGCATTTTGAGTAGAGAGCCGCTAGACAAACTTTGCCCGGATGTGTGATCGCCGCTCGTGACTGCTACCACTCGCCGAGTAAGAAAGCAGGCACAACAACTCGGTTGTATACGCAGCTCTTTCCACAAATAAGGTTTAGTAGACAGTACGCGACAGTATGCGACTTTACAGTCATTTTCGACACGCATGTACACTGAAAACAATTTAACCCAAGGCCCGCGAGTAAACCGGTGTTTTGCAGGTACCCCTATCCGCAACCATTTTTAACCACCCTCCCAGGAGTACAGTAAAGTCCCATTGCAGTGTAGTCGTCCCTGCTCTCAGCGGACTTGTTCGCTGACAGCGGTTATATCCGCTCAGAGCAAGTACGACTACACCGCAATGGGACCTAGCACTACTCCTGGGAGGGTGGTTAAAAATGGTTGCGAATAGGGGTACCCGTGAAACACCGGTTTACTCGCCAGCCTTGGGTTAAATTGTTTTCAGTGTAGTTCAAGTCGGGTTGTTTTTATTAGGTGCATCATATAGTAATCGTTAGCTTATGGAAAACTGGGAACATAGATACACTAACTATTTTTTACCTATAGCTAAATACACGTCTATTTAATTTTCAACGTATGTAACTATTAATGCATCTGTATTGTACCTTCGGAAATATTTGCGTAAGCAGTGTGCACCCACTGACCTGAGTGCACTCGAGTCCAGCTTCCTGGCGCTCATCCGCATGGCCATGACGTCCAGGAAGATGTCGTTCAGCCGCGTGTACCAGTCGATCTTGTCCTGGATCTCCAGCATGGTCCGGTTGATGGTGTCTCTGACAGCACAAGTCCCGCTGTCGGGATCGCCAACACGCGCCCACACAAGGGCCGACGAAAACGACGAGCTATGAGAGACGACTGGCGTCACAGTTTGTCACTCCGAGAGAATGGATACCAGAGACAGCGTGCAGGAAATAAACGACCAAACGAAACAGCACCGCATCGCAACCAAATCGCAGCACACCGACACATGCGAACGGTAGGCTCACCGCAGGTCCTCCAAGCGTATCTGGAACTTTAGCTTAGAGGAGAAAATCGGGAACTTTTTGAGGTCGACGGCCGACCGGACGTCCTCCCAGCGGGACATCTTCTCCAGCGTGAGGTCGGTGAAGTCGAACACCTTGGTCAGGTTGCTCCTCCACATATCCCTGGATGGGTAACGCTGTCGACGGTGAGGTGGACCGGGACGCCGGGCGACTCGGCGTCCGGCCGACACTGCTTCACCGGCGCAACCGGGTGGCGATATGAAACTCACAGCCTAGCTCACGGGGGCAGCGGGCTACCGAAAGCTACCGAAAGCTACCTCAGTAATATCATTTACGGTAATCAATGCAGCGTTACAAAAGTCTATGACTCGAACAAGCGCATCCATTGTGCCCACTGCCCAGTGTCGCAGGTTTGGCGACAAATAAAGAAAGGTGCTTGGTTGGGTATAAGGCAACAACACACAAGTCGACATTGGCACCTGAAGCAATTCTTTTCGCAAACTGCACACAGTAATTACTGCATATCTATTGCAAGCCATCGCCCACCTAAGGACAATTATTGCCTAGCCTACAAAGTACTCGCCACGCATGACCTTTTGGCCATAGGGGAGAGCATCTGAGTAAGGACCCCCTCCTTATGAATACTATGTGTAGCCGCTTATCATTGCATGTTGCGTCATTAATCCTTCTATTTGAATCGGAGTAAAGGGACGAGGCTACCCTAAACGAGAGGACCGTTGTCCATCGGATGCACATCTGCGACACATCAGGCGTTAGAGGCCGCGCCGGGCCGACGAGCCCGATTTTCCCTGGTCAAATGGAGAAGACGCGCCTCGCACTTTACGCGCACTCTTTTATGGTTACCAAACACCGTCAGCATTGTGATCAAAAGGCATCCATTTCCCCAGGTGGCAAAAATTCTAGCAATAAACTTCCATACCTAGATGCGACCATGGGACGTGATCTAGGTGGTTACACTCTAACAAATAACACTGCTACACCCTACACCCAATTAATTCACCACTCATGTACAAATTTACTATCTACCTAAAAGTGGATTTGTATTTAACTGACTGAGTTTGGGTTTTTGCCTCTCAAATGGGGTAATTGCTTATCCAAATTTCGTTTTGTTATGGGTATTTTTAAGGTAGAGCGTTTAATGCATACGACATTGCAAACAACGGCGAACGTTTTCAAACCCATTCTAGACTAATTTCCCAGTGCTGCCCGTAAATCGGAGCTCACCTGTTCGTTTCCAACTGCTTCTCCTTCTTGGCCAGGTTGATAGCTGAGGAAAACGACCGTCAGTCAGAGACTCGCGGCGACGCCAGGACAGTTTGAGGAGGTGATAATCGACGTGTTCGGTAACTGAAAACTGCTGAGGTTTTCCAAGTTATGTTATAGATCTATCACCCTGCATGATTAGACTGGTGTTAATCAATAGTTGAAATCGATATTCACACATAAAACGATGTTTTTATTCAACAGACATTCAATACGCTGAAACGGTTGGGTATAGAAATAAGCGGGCACAGTAGCGGCGGAACACCTTCAATTAAGGGGGGGGGGGTACTGCCGACTTTTGGTCCCATTCTTTCCATGCAACGCCCATAGGGCTAATGTTAAAATTCGAAAATCAAAGGGGGGCACGGTGCCCCGGTTCCCTCCCCGTTCCGCCGCCTATGTTACCGAACTAATATCGACTTGGTATTTGGTATTTCAAACTGATTTTCTTGTGACATGAATATTGAATATGATTGAATATGTATACTGTTAGCAATTGATGAATCTTCGATGCTGTTATTTTTTTTTTTTTTTGCAGAGCCAGGGCTATTGCACCATTGCACCATTGCAGAGCCGGGAGGATGATAGGCATTAGGGGGAGACAATCGTTCTTGGTCGGCACCCTGGTGAGTCGTCGGGGCTGATCCCATCATGAGGACAGGCCACCCAGCCCCCTGACAGCCACCGCACCCGGCTACAGTTTTACTCCTAGGGTAGCTGCTCACATGGGATAAAGCTGCCCGTTCAGCCCGGAATAGGGTAAGAAGGATTTGACGATCTGAGGATGGAAACGACGGAACGTATGAATGTTTTGACTTTCGTTATTAAGTATACCTGGAAATGTCAGGTTATTATGTACGGTCCACAGCAGAAGTAATGTGGGGTTTCAGTCATGGGTAGGTTCTGCTTCTGAAGCTTAGGAACGATTAGCCAGACTACAATGAAACTTTGAATGTAGATTTTATGTATCGTCACCCTTGCAGCTGCAACTTTAGCTATTGACATCTTCTTTTCGATCACTCCGCATTAAACAATCGCCAGTCAAAGCCAACCGTTGAGATTGGTAAAACCCTACATTACTTTAGCGGTGGGCTGTACCTACCGTACATATCAAAACCTATGTTTTGGCGTTGCCGCTAGATGACACTACAATTTGCGCCTGAAGGTATACTGTACCGCACATCTCCATATCAAATTTGTGCGCTTGCCGCTAGATGTCACTACAGTTTGCGCCTGAAGGCATACTGTACCGCACGTCTCCAACCTATGTAGTACCGCTGCCGCTAGATGTCACTATTATTTGTTCCTGAAGGTATACTGTGCCGCATGTCCTGGGGCCGTTGCAAGTAAAGGTAAGTGACATAAAAATCATGAGCTTCTCTTCCTAAATATTTTAGCCAATGTTTTTGTATTTTCCACAGTTCTGGTTTGTAATCCGCTTAATTTTTGTTTCCCGCGTTTTTTTTCTGAAATCGACAACACCTTAACCCGCATATGACTGGGGGGGAGGCTCTACCGAGCCTCCCTCTCGTTTTTCTGCAATACATTATAAACCGCTTGACGTATCAACACGAAACTTGCAATGCCTTCGGCAACATCGATTTGACATCTTGTGTTTAAATAACACCTTTCTAGCTATCATAAGTCGGCCGCAAATGACGTCAGAGTGACGTTATTTCAACCGATTTTGATGCAAAACATTGAACTGCGGTAATCGCTCTGAAAAGTTCCGTTCTTAAGCAAGATCCGATTTCTTTGCATGAGTGGACTGAGAATATGTACCTACAGACGTGGCTATCAAACTACTATCTCAGATTTCCAAAATTTTGAAAATATCGGAAAATATAGGTACATATACAATTACAATTATTCATTTTATTCAATAACTTTTTGACTTTCCGAAAAAAAACTGAAATATAATATATGATAGTACATCCACCAATGAACTCCTCTAGAAAGTAGTAGCCCAATACCTTCAAAAATGACTGAGGTATACGCACTAAAGTCAAACTTTCACAATTTAAGATTTCTCAAATCCATTTTTGGTACGTATTTGACATGGTTCAGTAATATAAATGGTACCATCTTGTTCCTGAGCTCAAACTGCAGCTGAAAGTCACCTTTTCTGGAAAAAAAAAAATCATTTTCAAAATTTGACCTTTTTTGACCTGAAAGTGACCTGACCTCAGCTAAATGTAGCTGAAAATGACCTCAAATAACTCAGACGACACTGTCTTCGAAATCTATGAGTGAAATGGACCATAAAACATGCGTCACGTGACCGATTCATGATATAAAATTTTCGTGACCTCGGATGACCTGGCCTTGACCTGAAAAAATCGAAGTAAAAGTTCGAGTCAGGGTATCCAAGGCGTAAACCATCAATGAATCAATCAAGGAATGCGTAAACCAAAAATGAACCTGATCGGACTTGTTAGCCGGAGGCCAGAGCCTAAATTGTGAACAGGTCAAAATGCTGATAACGTTTGCTTTGACCTTACCTGTGACGTCATCGGAGACCTCGAGGTCAATTAAATTAGCTTTCGTTCTACAATTTTTCTAGGGCTATCAGACACCGTTCGAATTTTGACGATCGGCCCAGTAGTTTCGGAGATAGGAGGGGGGCTCTATGGAGCCCCCCCCCCCTTCAGTCAATCGCGTTATGGAAAGTAGGTCATGTGTAGGTCATGCGCGGGTAAAACAATGTGTGTTGTTTACTTTGCACTGTGCACTCTCTACCTGTATTGCTCGATCCAAACGGGCCATGCGTGGTGCTCGGGCATGTTTCCGTGTACTTTATGTGGATGGACCGCATGATACACGGATTCTCCGTGCAGTGTGTGTACGGATCGCATGCTGCACGGCCTCTCCGTGTACTATGGGTACGAACTGTATGCCGTACGGTTTCTCCGTGTAACCTGTGTGCTGTGTGGGATCCGTATGGTCTGTGTATGAACTGTGTACCGTGTGAGGTATACATGCAGCCACTGACCGTTGGGCACCACCGAGGAGGACTGCAGGTTGGCCAGGTCGTGTAGTCTGTGTTTGGACTGTGGACCGTGTGAGGTATACATGTAGCCACTGACCGTTGGGCACCACCGAGGAGGACTGCAGGTTGGCCAGGTCGCGCGCCGTGCTGCCGTTGGTGAAGATGTAGAAGGCCACCTCGGAGCGCTCCAGCTGCAGCGCCGTCAGCAGCAGGCCGATGTCGGTCGTCTCCTCAATCTGCACAGCAAACACAAATACACGCCCGTCAGAGCCGGCCCCGTCGAGACAGGCTAACTCTCGTGGTACGCTTCTTTTGAAATCTCAGCTATCGTTTGGCCAACTAAGGAGAGGATCATACAATGACGCCACAATTTTCGATCTTACGACTTTCTCAGGCATGTTTAACAATCAGCTGCGACAACTGCCATTGGACATGATGCCAGCTGATGACTCTTCATCAAAGTCACCGCGCCGTTTTCTGACATAATTTGTCTCATCGCGCGCCGTGTCCAGCCCCGTCGGCAGCTCCGGCGGCAGCACCCGGCTGAGAGACGTACCGCGTGTTTGACCTCGAGCATGCCGCGCTGGTAGATGACCACCGCCGACATGGAGTAGATGTTCTGCACGATCAGCGCCACGATCGGGATGAACGGCAGCAGCAGCATCTGGGCGCAGCGCACCGCAGGACGGGGTCAGGTACAGTAGTACAGCAGGACAGGATCAGATACAGTACAGCAGCAGCTAGGCGCAGCGCACCGCAGGACGGGGTCAGATACAGTACAGCAGGACAGGATCAGATACAGTACAGCAGCATCTGGGCGCAGCGCACCGCAGGACGGGGTCAGATACAGTACAGCAGGACAGGATCAGATACAGTACAGCAGGACAGGATCAGATACAGTACAGCAGGACAGGACCAGATGCAGTACAGCAGGACAGGACCAGATACAGTACAGCAGGACAGGATCAGATACAGTACAGCAGGACAGGATCAGATACAGCGCAGCATGGCGGGGTTAGATACAGTACAGCAGGGCGGGATCAGATACAGTACACCGCAGCGCAGGGCTAGACACGGCACAGCAGGACAGGGTCAGATACAGTGTACCACACCGGAGGGAAGAGATGTAGTCTGACGTCCATACCGGTGTGATGAAGTTTAATGTCCTACCTGTGTGATGTAGGCTGACGTCCCACCTGTGATGTAGGCTGACGTCCCACCTGTGATGTAGTCCGACGTCCCACCTGTGAGATGTAGTCCGACGTCCCACCTGTGTGATGTAGATGCGCCGGCCGGTCTTGGAGACGGGGTTGATGTCCCACCTGTGTGATGTAGATGCGTCGGCCGATCTTGGAGACGGGGTTGATGCGGCAGCACTGGATGGTCATCATCAGCGTGGACGACACTCGCGAGCTGGTCGTCTTTCGGCTGTGGTTGGACTCTGTGTCCGACTCTGCGGGACAAACACACACGTACACGCTCACACATATACAACGAAAGTCAACGCACTATGTAGGTAATGACAGAAGGCGGCATTGGCCAAATGACACCTTGTCTGTTTTCTACGCTGAAAAGGTCCTTTATAATAATTTCAGGCAACACGTTTCCGGTCAGCGCAACCCCCGAAAGCTGCAGTACACCCCACAGGCACAGACTATGCAATATGTATGTATTGCACGGGTCATGCCTACGCAAGCTGGGTGACCTCGCCTAGCCTAGTGCCTATTTGCGAAGTCTTGGGAATGGACTGCCAGTGCCAATGTCCGAACAATAAGTTAATTAACGAGAAAGACGGTAAACTAATGACCTTCCTAGTTCCTACCACTCCACCATTATAGGTACTTATCTGCCATCTATTCAAATTAACGGCTCACTGACTAAACACACTGTAAAGGCACCCAAGAGCATCTAGGGCTTCTCAAAAAAGTTAGACGGATTTATTTTGCGAATAGAGGATCCCTAACAGCATTTAAGAAAAATCAATGCACGTAGAAAAACGAAGAATTTTTCGTAGATTTATATGACACCATGGTTTGAGCTTAACCCTCGCCCGCAAATGCCATTTTCCCATCCTAGAACGAACATGGGGGGGGGGTTGCCACCCCCCGCGCCATTTCGTTCCTGTTGGAGATAGAGCTTAGCGGTAAAGACCAAAAAGATTCTTTGGGAAGAGACGAATCCAATGATACCCAGTTTTACCTTCTCAGGTCAGTCATTGACCTTCCAGGTCAGGTCAAACTAAAAAATGTTGCTGTTTTGGGTCACCGTTGGATATCAAGTGCGCTGCTTATCAAATACCGATGACGATGCTGTTTTCTGGTGCCAAGCCAGCTAGAACCTCTTTGTCACACTACCCGACCAGAATTTTGCTGCTGAGGTCATTTCAGGTCAAGTTAGGTCAAGGTCAATTATATGTGTTTGTATGTCTGTGTGAGTCTGTGTGTATACTGATGTGTGCACCGATTGTTTTTGGGTCCATATTACATGAAATCATGATCTGAGAAGCTTTTACCAAAAATGCAGTCAAAAAACTTCACAAAAAGTAAATTCAGCTTGCCTAAAACGCAATTATCTTAGATGACCTAGGTTGACCTTGACCCTGACCTTGACCCCTGTACATCGTCGAACAACATGTTCCATGATAGGTGGGAGGTAAGACTGGCAAAAAAGGCCGAAATCAGGGTGTCAAAAGCCCACAAGGCCCATGGCAAACGCAAGATGTTGAGAATTGGCCATTTGGGTCATGACATGACCTGAAAAACAAGGTCATATCTCCGAAACCAAAAATCACAGAAACTTGAAATTTTCAGTGGACATCAAGAAAAAATAGAGGAGCAGCTATACGAAAAATCAGCCTTCTAGCTCTAAAAATGTCGAGTGCAGAGCAGAAAGACTACCTGGGGGGGGGGGGTGGCAACCACCCCCCCATGTGCGGGCGAGGGTTAAAAAATGAAGCCTTGGTCTAAGGAAGTAAAAGCAAAACTCGTGAAATTATGCTTTCCCAGACTAAGTCAGTCGGTTCGACACCACGAAAGATCCGCAAACACTTTAGGGCAAAGAGAGCAACATCTTGAAACAAAATTTTCCACATTATTGACAAGTTTCTGGCTCGAGGAAGTGTTTACAATACCTCGAGGTTCACGCAATTCAAGGAACACAGCGGCGGCCATAAACCCAATCAAAGGCTCACGGCGAACACCACTCGTGTGAGAGATGCGCTACTCAGACTGTCAATGGTCAGCGATATCGGGTGGCTCTGGCGACGTTTTTGGAGGGTTCTGCAATTTCAGGATGAGCAGAGGTCCGGAAACGCTTAAGATCCAATGGTTCCAGCAAGACGGTGCCACGCCAATACCGCTAAAGAAAACCGGGAGGGGCTGTGGGAGCGCTTCGGGCAGCGCGTGATCTCGAGGTTCGAGACACGCCCGTGGTCGGCGAATTCTCCGAACGTAACCCCACCGGACTTTTTCCTATAGGACCACCTCAAGTCCCAGGTGTACCGAAACCATCAAAAAAGTTCCGAAGATCATAAGGATGCAGTGAATTCAGCGGTGTGCCGTCTGCAGCTTTCCGTGGGTCGTGCTGCAGCAGAGGTCGCGCTGCGCCGGGCTAAACTGTGCATCGAGCAAAAAGGGAATCATCTCGAACATGACCTCGGCGCGGCTCAGAAGGGCTACTGCCGAAGATCGAAATCCCCTCAAACGAAATGTCTTTGATGAGACTTTTAGGTGATACCCAATTATGTTTTGTTACACTGATACACCCTTCAATACGTTAGTTATAAAATCGTCTAACTTTTATGAGAAGCCCGGTAGTTTGTTTCGCTGTTCTGCATTATAAAGAAAATAAATGAAACGCAAGTGAACGGTTTCGAGGCATTCTATACTATGTTTCGATTTGTTTTGCGCACCGTTCAGTGGGATCCGATCTTTTTGTAATCATAGCTGGCTTACACTGAGAGCAGATGGAGCTTTCGCGGGACGTGAGCGGAGCGATGTGCCACACCACTAAATATCTCTGAGGACTATTAGGGCCTGTCAGCTGCGCTAAAAGGAGACGTGCAGTGCAGAGTAAGTCAGAGCTCAAAGCCAGGCCAGTTAGCGCAGGTCAGCACTCGAGCGCAGGCTGCAGTGTATCGGACCGGCTGCGGTATTCCAGTAAAAGGACGACGCCTGTCGCTCTGCACCCATTACGCTGTCTGTCTGTATACTATCCTACAGGCTACCTGCCCGTGTTGTATGTATCCAACAGCTTGTCGTATTGTATATGACACAGACAGACAGACAGACGGACAGACGGACAGACGGACAGACGGATGGACGGATGGACGGATGGACGGTTGGACGAAAAGACGGACGGACGGACGGATGGACGGACGGAGGTCAGGAGAGGGCAACATATGCCGCGTCTCGGTTTCGGCCATTTCCACGGCTGGATGCGGCCAGCATACGTTCCCGTTACGACAGCCAGTAGATCCGGGAAGCTTCTAGGCTGCTGGCAGGCCGCGGTCATTTCAATCGTGGAGGAGCGCGTGACATGACCACCGAACGAGTGTCCCTCGCTCGGCTATATAAGGTCGGCATCATGATTCCCGGGTCGAAGATCAGCGTCATAACTGTATAACGCGGGCCAAAACATCCCAGAGCTTCGTGACCGAGGTGGCCAGCACCTGACCTTTGACCTAAGGCAAACACTCTAAGCAAAAACCTCTCTCGAGCCAAAAGTATACAATACGGGGCATGCCGAACACAATGGCACAGAATTGCGGACTTGACGAACATTTTTTGCGAAATTATTCACCAAAAACCTTGGGAGATTTGATATGATCTTAAAGGTCACCGGCTGACCTCACGGTTCGTCGGAAGGTCATCTCAGGCTCAAAAGAAACGGTATACCTATACATTCGAAAGCTGACGGTGAGCTGAATCAAAAAATGTATTTTTCATCAAAATCGATTAATTGCCTTTTTTGAAAATTGCGTTTTTGTAAAAACTTTATAACTTTTTAATCAACGGGCTGTCCCGGGCATTCTTGAAAAAATGAACATGTTTTTTTCGAGTTCCAGTGAAAGCTGAACGCCAAAAGAACAATATTTAGCGAAGCAATATTTCCTTACATTAACCCATTAATGCCGCTTGGGTCATATATGACCCAAAAGCAACATCTTAACATTTTTTTTCTGAATGGAGGCAAGTGGCACTTTGAGGAACTTGTGCGTGTGTTTTGTTGGATTTGTGGGTTCAGCGACGAGCGTCGGAGCCGCATAAAACTCGTGTGAGCTCGTCCGCTGAAGTTTCTGGAGCCAAAGAAGACGGGACTGCACAGCCGCCGGTCACTGACAATGGCGCGCCGTTCCAAAAAGTAATAATATGTTATGTTTGCACTTTAATATCTATTGAATGATCATCCACCTGGCATCTAAATTTGTCTGAAAAAGACATGATGTACATTTTTGCCCTTCTTGTCGCCATCGGATAACTTTTTTTCCTCGATAAATATCCTTGGGTCATAAATGACCCAGCCGGCAATAGTGTTGTTAATTTTCTCGTATGTTGAATACAAGGGAAGCAATTGATGATTATACGATTATTTATTTCTGGGGGTTGTGATCAGATCACAGTGGCGGATCCAAAGGAGGGGGGTCATATGGGTCACTCATGACCTCCCCTGGGACCCGGGGGCACCACCGACCTATCAGGGGCACCACAGGCCCGCCAGGGGCATCACAGGCTTGTCAGGGGCACCACAAACCTAGCAATGGCACCACAGACCTGTCAGGGGCTCCACAAGCCTGTCAGGGGCACCTCAGGCTTGTCAGGGCCCAGGGGCACCACAGTCCTTCCAGGGACACCACAGGCCCGTCAGGCCTATGGTGTTCCCTCTGGAGCACCAGAGGCCTAACAGGGGCACCACAGGCCTGCCAGCGGCACCAACGGCCTCGCCAATGAGGCGTTGCAAAGCATTGCAATGCAGTGCCTCTAATATTGTTTGGCTGAGACCGCTATACAGTATACACAATAAGGTATCTAGCTAAATCGGTTTTCGTGATAACTCCTTATTTGTGACTATGCCAATGCCGGTTGGGTCATTTATGACCCATACTTGTAACTTGAGAACCGATGGAACATTTTTTTAAGCTTGCACAGTTTTCTTACTGGGACCCGAGTGGCTAACATTTGTTAACCCTCGCCCGCACATGGGGGGGGGGGGTGGTTGCCACCCCCCCAGGTAGTCTTTCTGCTCTGCACTCAACATTTTTTGAGTTAGAAGGCTGATTTTTCGTGTAGCTGCTCCTCTATCCTTTCTTGATGTCCACTGAAAATTTCAAGTTTCTGTGATTTTTGGTTTCGGAGATATGACCTTGTTTTTTAGGTCATGTCATGACCCAAATGGCCAATTCTCAACATCTTTCGCTTGCCATGGGCCTTGTGAGCTTTTGACACCCTGATTTCG